AGTGAAAAGGGGAAAAAAATGGTTAAAAACTTTTTTGGGATGAAATGATATAAAAAGATTTATTGGGGCTAATTTTTATGGTCAAAAGTCAATAAAAGTGGGAGATAAGAGATGAGGGGGTACAATAAAATCCTTAAGGATTTTTTTATGTTGCTTGAAAGAAAAAAAGAAAGAATGTCTACCATGAAATAATACGAGGAATTAGGGTTTTATTGACATCACTTCTCAGTTGTTCGATCTGAATAGATGATTAGGATTGCTTAAGTCATAATGTTACACCAAAACACTCTTTGGTTTTTTATTTTTTTTTATAAAAACGTTTTGAGTGAGATTTGGGGCATCCCATCCTCTTATTAGTGCCCACCTAGCAAAAATAAAAATAAAATATTTCTTGTGAAAATAAATGACAAAAATATGCCCAAACGTTTCAAGGGTATTCTGGTAATATTTACAAAATTATTATTTTTATCATGTATGCCCTTATCAAATGTACGCATGCCCTAAATTTTACTGCAAAATGATTTATAAAATAAAGATTAAAAATAATACACTATGAGCAATCGAATCAAGATCTGACACTCAAGAGCGAACTTGTAGCATTGTGACTCAAGCCATCCCAACTATCTACTCACATCAGACGGCTAAGAGTCACAAATACTTTATATGTGTGGGTTTACTTGTAAATCTTTCCCTACTACTAAAGTAATAGTGTTTTAGAGAATGAAGTAGTACCATGTTTGGCCAATTGTATACCACTGCCTTGGTCTCTCCCAAAAGAAAACCCCACACCTACAATATTGTAAATATAACAATAATATGTATTTGTATTTATCCAAAATGGATAAATCTTCTTTTCCTTGCTTCTAAAGGTATGTTGGGGCTTCCCAATTATGAGTCTACTTTTATGGATTTCCAAAGTTCCAACCAAGTTTCCAACAAACCCCAAAATTACACGTTCTAACAACCGTTATAAGAGTAAGGGTCCCTCCTTCTAGTATGTGGAAATTAGAAATTGCAACTTACAAACAAACAATCATCATTTTTTAATTATAACCATTAAACAATCATCCTTTTTTAATTATAACCATTACTTTTGCAAGGATATAAAAAGGATATCAGGAGTAGAAGGGCCCATTATGTCCCTATTTTCTCTAAAAAAGCGCTTGTTGTGTATGTTATTCTTCACAAAATGCGCATTGTTTTTTCCAGTCTCCTGTTAAAGTATCAATTAACTTCCTGTTATATAGATTATTAACGTTATAACATTCCATAACAAATTCTCAAGCTATTTTTCTTTTCAGTGTTAACTTAGAACTTTCTATGAACTCTTTAAAACATACATAGACATCAGTATAACAACAGATTTTAAATTTTTTTATTTTCCAATGTGCAACTTAGAACTTTCTATTTAACTCCTTTGAAATATAAAAATACATTCATATCATCATGATCATCATTATGAGGGGCTTTTTTTAACTTAAACTTTCTTTAAACCGTTCAAGATTTGTATTAAGTAGGCAGGCAATGTAAAACTTTGTCAAAACTTTTCAAGAATCCTCAAAAAAAAAATAATATATATATATATATATATATATACACTTACTGATACACAAGAAATTTTGAACCTTGATTTTATATTGAAGCTAAGCATGTTTGCGCATCATAGTGATCTAGTAATGCTTGATCCATTTTAATTCTTATGTATGATAGGAGAACACTACTACATGGTTTCCAAAACGCTAATTTTCCCTACCCGTGCTATTCAATTAGATTGTGCAGCTAAAAAGCCATATAATAAGGAAAGTTGTTTCATGAGTCAGTGGGCACAAGAGCCCTTAAGATATGATATGTCTATAAATAAGATATGATATGTCTATAAATATGATATGATATGATATGTCTATAAATATGATATGGACGGTGCATAAAAAAAGTAAAAAATTATATTTTCTTTTCATTTTTATTATCATCTTGGCCTAGATGATGAATAATAATAAAACATAAAAATTAGGAAAAAAAATCATCTAAAATGAATTTTAGTGGGAGGACGCATATGTACCTATGAGTTGGATGCCTCACAGAAACCCCATCCCTAAAATAACTATTATTATTTCCACTGTCATTATTATGATGTAACAACTTGACTCCTGTGATATCATGTTCCTTGGTATTTAATAAAAAACTATCAAGAAATGAAAATAACAACTGTTCTTCTAAATACGAGAAATCACAACAACGATTCTCAAAATAACATAAATATCAAGAACTATTGTGGAGAAAGATGTCTTTTCTACGAAAATACAATAATATATTTTTAAGTATTACTTATTACTCTCTTTCCTTTTCTGTTCTCACTGTGATGCAACCTTGTTTTTTATTTTCACCCCATTTTCCCCTCTTTTGGTTAAAATCATTATTAACTATTATTATATAAGAGTGAGGATAATTAAGACCATTATTTCTGTATAATCCACATAAAAATATTCAAAGAAATGAACAAACCCCAAATCCTAATACGTGCCAAACATGGACAATGAAAAACTGCAAAAAATGGGCAAGTATCTCACTGTCTTTTAAGCAACATTAGAGAAAGGTGCAATGGGTTCACAGATGTCACTCCACTGAATGAGGGATGTTTGATTCTTTCCCATGGTCTTCAAGCAAATGGGTGTTTGATAAATTGGTGATATGCAACTAGCCGATCTAGATCGGGAATCAATCTAATAGATCTGGATCCTATAAAATATCAGGAGTCGGATGATTCCCCCCATGAACCAGCGGGTTCTCGCCCGTTTGTACGGGCTCTATGATAGAGCCGAGGGGTTTTGTCAAATAACTATTACAAACTGCCTCCAT